ATAGAAGATTTACTTACGCTTGCTAAAATTTGGTTTGCTCTTCCAGAAGTCACATTAACTTGGATAAAAAGACAAAATGGTACAGAATGTGGCAGTCACTGTTAGTTGTCTATTCAATATCCATTTCTTCTTTACAAGTCAACCTGAATTTTTCTCAGGGGCAATGTGCTTAGCTGAAAACTTCATTTCCCCGCCCCCTTTGCACCTATGACAGGCCATGTAACACAGTTCTGGCCAATGAAATACAAGTGAAAGTCAAAGGATGAAACTTCTGCGAAAGCTCTTTAAAAGGCAGATAGACTCAAGTGGCAGGATGCTTTGCGTGTACCTTCTTCCTGCCTAGCTACATTGTGTTGGAGATGGAGCCATAGTATTTTGATCACCAGGCCCCCAAAACATGGTAAGGATTACTGAGCAGAAATACAGGAGGATCCTGGGGGCTTTGCAAATCCTCAGTATGAGCCCTGACTCTGCTTCCAGATGTAAATAAGAATAATCGGACCCCTAATTTTTTAAGTCACTTTTTTCTGGGTTTCTATTACTAGAGGCTTAGTGAATTTCTCCCTCCACAGAAGGCCTGTTTGAAAAATGGTGTCAGCTAAAAACTCCCTATAGATAGGTTTCAAAGTCAATATAATGTCCAGGAGCAAATGAAGAGTTGATTTCCACCTAGATGCAAACGGAAACCTCTCAATCCTATTACCAGGGCCACCTGCTTCAGCCTTGATTAAACCAAGTGAAGGGAAAGAGGAAGTGGGCAGCCCAGAGCTTAGATGGCCATGACAAATGAGTTCCCGGTAAGACTGTGTCCTCCAAATCTCCAATGTTTAGCATTCTCCACCATGCTTTCCTTTTGCTTTTCATCTTCCCTTCCATTCTTAATCTAATGGAAGAAAAAGGTGAATAATAAAGTAGGAATACTATTCTTCATTAACCTTCAGTGCCTTCTCATTGTCCACCCAGTTAAGCATATGAAGGATAATTTATTGAACATTCATCTGTGCTTTGTATTGCCAGTGTTTTCCTCCCCTATTCCAAGCAAGTAGCCAGGCTAATTGCTGCCTTACTTCAGGGAAGTTTTTGGCAGAAGCTTGAAAGCAAACGTCCTACGACCCCTGCTTGTGTCTGGTCTTTAAGAGCTTGGGTTCCTGAAGTGGATTATGCTGGAGGAACACAGGTAGAAGCAGAAATGACAAAGGAGAGAAGGAGACTGCCCTATACCAGGAAGGCGTGGTGGTTTCCATGATCATCAAGGAGCCTGTGTCCTACTTCTGGCAGAACCTGGGGAAGAAGACAAGGCCTCAGAGGGGGCCTGATTGTGTGGTGAAGTTAGCGAGGCTGTACCCTGGGCAACAGGGCTTCCATTGTGAAGAAGGATGCCTGCAGGCCAACAAGAGCAGAGAAACAGAGTCACTGCCATTCAAGGGTCTGCGACAACATTCACAACAGGATCACCATAATGAGCCAAAACTTAGGGGCAATTCTCCTGTGTTTTAAGGAACCAAAAAGTCTCTGATATTCTGAAGAAGAGAGAGAGAACACCCAAATGACAGATTGAAATTACCTCCAGCAAGGTGGCATGAAGGCTTACAGAAACATCCAGAAACACTTACGGAAACACTCTACTGGCGTCTACTTGGGCCTAAGACCTCAACAGCATAGTCTCCTCAACCTGCTGTTCCAGACCTTTGGCATTTCTTCCCCTGCTTGAATCCTACACTCGTGATGCTTTCCTGCCTCTGTGTTTGCTTAGAGTTTTCTGTCCTTTGGCAATTTAATGCATGCATTCATCCATTTAATAATAAGTGCCCATCTTTTCTATCTTCAAATACTTGCCCTTCATAAAGTTCTCCCTGATCCCTCTGAAAAGCCATAATTTCCTCCTTTATATCTCCAAGTTTTGCATCTACTATGCACCCTGAAGATAGTGACTGTTTCCCAAGTACCTAGCATAACACCATATGTCCTTGACCTTAGGACACTAAACTGAACAAAGCACAGAGCGTGTCCTCAAAGTTCTCAACGTCTATGTATCATGACCAAGGATCACAGGATTGTGTGTAGTGCCTTCTCAGCCTTTGTTGATCTTGATTGTCAGCATTTTAAACCTCCATTCAGCTGCTTATACAAAATTTAAGTAAAACGAGGAAGATAATTTTGTTGGAGAGAAAGCTTCTGGATGCTTCAGAATATGCCACCTCACCTGAATGGTAACCATTACACCTGTAAATAAGATAAAATAGCAAGAAAAATGTAAAAGTGTGCTTTGATCATTTCCTTTTTGAAAATCGATAAGATCATTTTTATTTTCAAAGAAAATGTACAAATAAAAATACTGTTACCGCTTATTTGAAATCCATGAAAATTGCTGAGATGAAGGAACCATTATCCAAAAACTGCTTTCTCTTCCCGGGGTTTGCTTCCTTTGCCTTCGTTGTTTTTTGCTGTCATTGCTGCTGTGGAATTTGCTGTTATATGTAATAAGACCCCATCACAGTGTTTGTAGATAAATCAAGAAACATTCACTGGAGATCTTGTCACAGGCCATAGTCCAGACTTAATCCCCACTCTCCCTTCCCACGGTTTTCAGTCTGTTTAGGCTCTCTCTTTTTTCAAATTCTTCATTCTCCTGACTCTGCTAGCCTGTGGAGGCAACCTTTCTGTTTTCAGTCTCCCAAGTATGTCACATGCCTATATCGTAGTGGGCCAGTGAAGGAAGGGGCACTGGCCTGGAATCAAGAAGCCTCACTTGGTCACTTACTCAATCAACAAATATTTTTGAGTATTTTCTAGGTATCAGGACTTTGTCTAAGCCTTAGAAAGTAGTCATGAGCAATATAGCAAAATCCCCAGCTTACATTCTAGTAGATAAAGATAAGTATGCAGATTATCAAGAAGATTGTAGCCAGTGATAAGTGCTATGAAGAAAACAAAAGGGTTGATGTGATAGTGTGATTTTACAGGGTCACTTGGAGTACAGCTGTCAGGGAAGGCTTTTCTGCCATTAAAGCAGAGACCGGATGGATGGGAAGGTGCTAACTAGATTCCAAGAAAGATTGTTTCCGGCATCACATCCCTAATAGTGTCCAAGGCACGGAGAGGAGGCCAGTGTGGCAAGAGCAGGGAGTAGGAGGAAGGGAGGGACCTTAGCAAGATCAATAGAAAAGGATGAGTTCATGGAGGATCTAGCAGCTATGTGAGGAGTTTAGATTTTAATCTGAGTATGAGAGGTATGTGATGTACTTTAAGCAGAGGAATGAAACCGTTTCATTTTTTTAAACATCACTGTGACTACAGGGTGGAGAGTGGAATTCGAAATATCAATTAGGAGACTATGGCATAAACTCAGGAGAGAGAAGGGGAAGGATTCAATTCTTTAGAGCCAGAGCTTATAGGACTTACAAATGGATCCCATGTAAGAGGTACTGGGGAGTCACCAAGATGGTGTGCAGATTTGGGCTAAAAGACTTGGGTGGATGGTGGGTGCCCTTCACTGACACGGGACAGCATTCCAAGCCTGCCTTGCCCAACTCTGCGCAATTCTGCCTCTTCAACTTTGAAATAAAGACATTGAAAGAGATTGAAGAAGCGGCTCCAGGCGCTTTTCCAGCACTAAAATACCACAGTTCTATTGGGTTATTAGGACAGAAATATGTTTTTCTTGCTTCCCATTAAGAGAATAACACAAGATTTAAAATGACAGAGGCTGAGATTCAAATCAAAGATCCGCAAACCCATGTGGGGTTGGCAAACAGATTTCACGTGCCTCAGTCTCCCCATCTGCAAAATGGAACTACAAAACAGGCCCGTCTCACTGGGCTGCTGGGAGGGATAGGTAATATATGTAAGGCACCAGGAACGTAATGGTCCTTGGTCAATTCCACATTCTGCTTTCCTGACAGATCCAACAGTCGTTTATTTTCTTTCTTTCATTCATCTCACTGTGTAAGTCTCTTGACTCTGTGACTTTTCTCCAAGGATGAACAAACTCTAAGAACTAGGACTCCCAGAACAGATTTCACTCCTGTCTCTCCCTCCCTGGGGGTCGCTTACTCTGGGACCTCTCTGCCTTCTCGCCTGATGTTGGCCATTTAAAGGGTGAGCGCTGGCCGGCGGGGTGGCTCACACCTGTAATCCCAGCACTTTGGGAGGCCGAGGCAGGCAGATTGCCTGGGCTCAGGAGTTCAAGACCAGCCTGGGCAACACGTTGAAATCCCGTCTCTCCTACAATACAAAAAAATTAGCTGGGGTGGCGGCGTGTGCCTGTAATCCCAGCTACTCGGGAGGCTGAGACAGGAGAATCGCTTGAACCCGGGAGGCAGAAGTTGCAGTGAGCCGAGATGGCATCACTGCACTCCAGCCTGAGCAACAGAGGGAGACTCCTGTCAAAAAAAAAAAACAAAATCATACTGGAAGTTCTAGCTAATACAATAAGACAAAAAAAAAAAAAAAAAAAAAAAAAAAAAAAAAGAGGGTGAGTGCCATGCAGTTAGCTTCAAGCCTGGGGACACCAGGGTTTCAACACAAGGGTTCCAACATCAGAGTTTAACTTTGACTCATATACTTTTCCCTGCCTTCAAGCCTCATCCCTTTCCCTGATCAATGAGGCTACGAGGGGGAGAAAGTGAACAGCAAAAACCAGTCCTGAGAAGAAAATGGGATGGAATGGCTGCTGATGAGAGAGATCTCATCCCCTGAAATCCCACTAATACGCTTTTTTGCTGCTGATGGCCATATTATTTGACACTTGAGAAACGACATGGACAAACTACAACAAGGGATATTACAGTCTCATCTGCAGCCTACACTATGTTTTAAGTCACCAAAAACTAAAATTTTAGATGCCATAAACATTCACTGATGATCTCGTTCGTTTTTCTTAATGATGCCTCTCTTTTTCATTTATCTCAATTGCCTATTTTTCCTTTCAGGAATAAAGCCAAATAACATATTTCTTCAAGTGTCAAGCAAAAAGACACGTTGTGCACACGTTTCTCTAGGTTCCAGACGCAAAGCCGGCGCCCTGGGCGTCCCTGCTCCGGCCGCTAGAGGGCGGTGCGCTGCTCGCTCCCCTCCCTCCGCCTCCCGCGTCGCCTCCGCGCCCCTGGCCGCCCAGGGAAGGGGGCAGAGACGCCTTGTGGGCAGATACACCCACGTCCGGAAGAGCTGAGGGAGGAAGACACTTGAAAAGAAGCAGGTACCGTGAAGGGCACAGGGCGCTCGCCCGGGCTTCCTGCTTCCTGGTCGCTCGCGGTCGCCTCCCCTCGAGCAGCCCCCGCACCCAGTACTCCGTCGCGCCGGAGCCCCTCGCAGCCTCACCCTTTCGCACACTGCGCGCCTTCCCGGTGTCGGCGGACTGGCTTCCCTCCGGCCTCCGCCAGGCCTCCGCCCGGCGAGGTGACCCGCCCCAGGGTCCCCGGCGCGAGGACGAGGCGGGCCGTGCACCCGAGCTGCTTCCGCAGAGCCGTCTGCGGGGGGCCCGGGCGGGGACCACGGAGCCCCGTGCACCAGCGCCCCCGGCGCCACCGCGGGACACGGAGGAAACAGGAACAGCTGGTTTTGTGGGCAGGCCCCGGGCTGGAACTAGAGCCAGGGTAAGGGAAGCAATAATAACGTCGCTTACATTTGCAAGAGAGCTTTGTGCTTTCCAAAACGCACTCGCAAATACCCTCCCTGGCTTATGTTACTTCCTGTAAGGTGGGCAGGTATTAGGGACCCCTTTTTACAAGCGAGAAAACTGAACCCATAGGAAGGTTAAGCTTTAGTGACAGAGCTGGACTAGACCCCGATGCCAGGGTGAGAGGTTTGCCCAAACATCCCTGACCTGTATAAAATCTGTCAGGAGCTTAGCGCGGTGAAAATCAGATGACTTACCGGCTCCAACGCCTGAGAGCCCTTTACCGTGTCCAGGTGCTGACGGCGGGGGACAGGGAAGGCGATCACAACGAAGACCCAGAGGAAACAAAAGGCAAGCCAATGTGAGACCTTTGCCACCTTCCCGTTCCAGGACGGTGGACACTGTCTTCTCACAAGAGGTTTGAAAGCTGTGATGTCCTGTCTTCCTCCCCTCTCACGGAATGAAAAGTCATTTTTGCCAGAATATTATACCTGCAAACTCTCAAGGGAGGAGGCTGCAGCCCACCCCTCAGAGATTTTTGCCTACAGAAAGCTTTTTTTTTTCATCCTAGAGACAGACTTTTATAGCCTCTCCAACTCCCCTTGAATTTTTAAGAGAGAGAAAGAAAAGCCCAAAAGGGAAAGATAATGGTCATGTATGCCTTGGAAAGATAAATGCGTGTTTTAGTTTTGTTTTTAAATGAGTTTTCCTTTTCTGAAGAATTTCTTTCAAAAAATTAGTGGGAATTGAGGTGAGGTATTATGTGTTTTATATTTTTATATCCACTTTTTAGTACATTTTAATATAATGTCTTGAGTCCCGTTTGAGTTTATGACCCAGGTCAAGCTGCCCCGTTTCAGGTTCCACATTGGTAAAAATTAAATTGTAGCATCCACTCATGTCACAAACATGTAAGTTGGGGAGGTAACCTGCTATCAGGCCATATTTACAGAATAGCTAAGACTTCTCAAAGTTTGTCAATATCTAAGTGTCTTTTGGATACTTCCCGATACTACCTGTGAGAATCTATTCATTTTTTCTTTTAATTAGTTCTTTATTTTACTGAAAAAAAAAATAACTTGAATGAAGAGAGCCAAAGTATATGCTGATGTGAGTATGAGTCAGGGAACCTGCTCTTTTTCCTGAAGAATTATTTCACTTAAGAAGACATTCAGATAATTTGACTATTTGCTGACATTTTGAATGTGCCATAGATTCTTATGAATTGGATCCTTGAAGACTTACGCTTCAGGATGGCATGCTGGGCGCACAAGTTCACTTCCCCCTTGCAAAGTCACATGACATTTACAGTAAAGAAATAAGGCAGAAATAAAGTCATGACACTACTATGACCAGAAGGAAGGCCATCTGGGAGAAATATACTTTTGTGAAGTTCTTGGCAAGAAGAATGAGGACAGGACCATAGTGCTGGATAAACCAGAGCAAAGGAAGCTGAGGCCCAGAATGTGCTTGGAAGAAGGCTGCAGCACAGGTGGGAGCCATTCTTTATGTCAAAGTCCTAGGATACCCTAAACTTGTAGATAGCAAGAAACCAGAGCAGAAGCAGGATGCAGAGCAGTAATCAGTGTAATTAATAAAAGGAGTATTTATGAAATACCTAGTGCAGGTAGCCCCTCCCATCTCATTCCTATCCCCTTGCATCAAAGCAATTAGAGGCTAGAAAATTTACACTGGAGAACTGCTTTCTTCCTGCTCTGCACCCACATGCCCTAAAGGAAAGCAAGTTCCCCTGGCAGCGTTCACAGTCAGACTCTCCAGCCCTGAGTCAGTAGAGAAGCTTCTAAGAGTACACAACAGCAGGGAAAACCCATGACACTGATCTATAGGATTGAGCACTAACCACTTGAAGAAATCCACTGTCAAGATGAGAGATTTGAGAATGGGCCCAAGAGAACTTTGTGAGTTGATGAAACTATTCTCTATCTTGAGTGTGACTGTAGTAATGTGCCTGTATGCATTTATCAAAACTCATCAAACTGAACACCTTAAGCAGATGAATTTTACTCTCTATAAATTATGCCTCAATAAACCTGAGCTTCAAAAAAGAAGCACAAGCCATGAAAGGAAAGAAAGCTGAAGTTGTGACATCTGACTTGGTTTGCAGCAGTGCTAGGGAGTTTGTCCGCTTTTCTAACAGCACAGAAGAGTGACAAACAGAAAGACTGGCTCCATCTTAACAAAGGCATTGAGCTAACCTGACTGACTCAGAAACAAGAGAAAGAAAGTCCCAGTGTAAACCAAGTACACAACAGGCACCAGGCGTTCTGAAGTTCTTTACTTAATTCACAACACAGTGGATATGTCTGCCTAAGGAGTTGCCTCTTGTCTCTCTAACTAGGACATTTGGGAGTGTCTTACATCAGCCTAGCATACCTCAATGGGTGCTCAATAAATGTAAACTAAATGTCATGCAAAACAAAAAACAAAAGAGGCTTTTTTTTGGACACAGGGTGTCATTCTGTTGCTTTGGCTGGAGTGCAGTGGCACTCCAGTGCAGTGGTGTCAAATAGCTCACTGCAGCCTCAAATTCCTGGACTCGAGGGATCCTCCTACCTTAGCCTACTATGGAGTAGCTGAGACTACAGGCATGTGCTTGGCTAATTTTTTTTTAATACTGGTAGAGACGGGTACTTTGCTTTGTTGCCCAGACTAGTGTTAAACTCCAGGCCTCAAACCATTCTCCCACCCCAGCCTCCTGAAGCACTAGGATTACAAGCATGAGCCACTGCATCTGGCCCAAAAGAGGCTTCTTATAAAAATAAAGGAACAACCAGAAAACAAGAAAGTGTTGCTAGAAATTAAAAATATGGCTAAGGTGCCTCATTAGCTCAGTTGGTAGCACTTCAGTCTCGTAAAAATATGGCTGCTAAAATCTTTTACCTGTAACACAAAGACTAAAAAATAAAATCAAGGAAATCTACCAAAATGATGAGTAAAAAGAAAGAAATCAGAAAATGAATGAAAAGTTAAAATCAGAGAATCAATAGAAGTGCTACACCCACCTAACAGAACTGTCAGAAGAAAACTGAAAAAAAAATGTGCAGGAGAAAATTATTAAACAAAACATAGGTGAAGCATGGATAAATACAATGTGGTATATACATGCAATGAATATTGTCCAGTCACAAAAAGGAAAGGAGCTACATGATACAACATGTATGAACCTTGACATTATGCTGAGTGAAAGAAACCAGACACAAAGGCCACATATTGTATGATTCCATTTATATGAAACATCCAGAATACGCAAAGCCATAGAGACAGAAAGTAAATCAGTGGTTTCCAGGGACTAGGGGAAAGGGGGAATGAGTGAGTGACTGCTGATGGGTGTGAGATTTCTTTTAGGGGTGATGAAAATATTCTGAAGCTAGATTGTGGTAATGGTTGCTCAGCTTTGTGAATGTACAAAACCATTTCTTTGTGTGCTTTAAAAGAGTGAATTTTATGGTGTGCAAATTATTTATTTTTAACTAAAAAAAAATAGTAGAAGAAAATCTCCAGGAACTCAAAATAAAAAGACTGAAGATTGAATATGAAGCAGAGTAAATATATAGATATCCTCAAATTCATTCTTATGGAATTAATCACTAAAAACGGGCAGAAAAAAAAGCTAAAGAGTGTCAAGAAAAAAGTTACAGAAAAATTAAAATTGGCATCGAACTTCTCATTTGCAGTATCACCAGAAGAAAATGAAACAATGCCTTTTTCACAGTTCTGTAGGAATCTGTTATTGACCAAATTAGGATAGGAAATCAGACACCTATGAAGATAATATGTATAAGAAAATTTTTTTCATTCAACAGTAGAATAACTAAGAAGCTGATGTCTTTGTGATGTACTGAAGAACACGTGTGTTTGTTCTCAACAAGAAAAATGTAAGATATTTGGCAATTTTGGATAAAAAAACAGTTTCAAGGACCACTGTGTAAATATGAACAACTGAAGTGTGGCATGATTTTGAAGAAATTGAGTGTGAAGAAAGAGAACCCATTTGATCTCAATGCCTAGAACATGCTTCTATGGCTAGTTTAGTGGCATAGGGATTATATTCTATTTTCTGGAGATTAAACCACTTAATTCTGCATTTAATTATATATAATGTCGTAAAAAAATCTGAAAAGTGACACTGATTTAAAGCTATAAATGCAACTGTAGAGGAAATAGTAGAAGATAAATTCTTTCAGAGTGAGGAAGGAATAGATACTGTCTAAATAATGTGTTCAGTATAGAAAAATACGCAAATTACCCTAAATCACAGTCCAACCATCAGAGGTCTGAAACAGAAGCAATTAAAAGTAGTTGCCTCTGAGGAGGGTACTGGGAGCTGCGAATAATAACCTGGCACTTGCTGTTTAACACCAGGATATGTTTTTCAACATTTTGCTTTACTATATGTATACATGACATGAATCTTTTTTAAGAGAGAAAGAACAATTCCCAAGCTTGCAAGATTGGCTGTATCATTAGAAATACTTCCAGCAGCAACATGCAGAAACCTTTACTAACAGTGGCTTGCGTCGTGACATTTGTTATTTGTTTAAACAGCAGTCTAGATGTAGGCGGAAGGAACTGACCACGGTTGGTTTGGTGGCTTGATGACATCAGCAAGGGCTCAATTTCTTCCCATCTGTCTGCCGTGCCACCCAAAGTTCTGGCTGTGGTCTCCACTCAAGAGCCCAACATAGCTGCTGGCTCCAGGAACCAGTTTTCTTACAGCCACATCCAATAACTGGAAGGAAATTACAGAAACAAAAAGGACTAACTTCTACATGATGATCACCTTTGATTTTCTTTTCCAGAAGCCACCATCCCTTCCTCCTCCAACCCATTCAGCTCCTTTCCGTCCTTCTCTTGCATTTCATTGGCCAGAATTAGGTCACCTCCTCACCTCTGAACCAATCACAGGGAATTTGTTCACCCAAATTGAAGCAGATCCATCATATCTCATCATCTGGAGCTGAGCACATTGCTCTCTGAACAAAATTGTTGTTCTTTGACAAAGAATAAGAGGGCTTTGACTGTGAGGTAGGCAATAACAGGGTCTACCAGGCTGACTGACTGACCGATTAACTAACCAGCTACCAACCCTTATGAGGAGACAAATACCTGTCAGAATCACAACGCCTGGAATCTCTCACAACAAAAGACTATACAATCCTGAGGCCTTAGGCCTATGTTAATTTAATGTGGATTAATCTTTTGAGATAGAACCATTAGTCATGTGTTGGCATCTGCAAATTAACACTGGCTTCTGGGGAGAAACTCTTGAGGAAAAAAAATTACACCACTGCATTTTTCAAAGTTTCAACATCAAAAATTTATCAAGTGTAAAAACCCAGTCTGTTTGATACTGTTAAAATCATTAATACTACAAATAGCTGCTAAAAACAAGGCACATCCGACAACCTGAAGGACTGGAAGAAGAGGCAAACATTCTCTTTTCTGAATTAAGAAAAGTTAGTTCCATCATTTGCATTTTCTCTCCCTCATATCATTTTATGTCTCTGGCACATTTCCTAAATCAAAGACTTTCCTGGGGATTCTATTTATCAGATAGGTATTGGCTTGCTTTTCAGCAACCCTATCATAGTTGATTTACTAATATATCCTGTAGACTTTCTACACAATCTATACAGCTAAGGCCCGTAGTGCCTCATAATTCCCACCTATTTTAAGTGAAAGACTTAATGCATAGATGGGATCTGACATATGAGTGCTGCTCACCAGTTCACTGTCAGAGCAGGTCTGAATAATTAGCACCAGCAGCTCTTCTTTGCAGATATTAATAGCTTGTATTATAAATGTCAAGCATAGCACAAAGATGCAACCAGAAAACCTCTGAAGGAAGGGAGCCCATAAATCAGGAAGGTTTCACTCTATTTTTCTTCCGTTTTACTATCAGAAAATAAACCCAGGGTGGTGAGATTTAAAATCCTGCCCACCTCTTATTTATTACTTAGTACGGGGCCTTTCCTGAAGCTGAAACCTGGAGGAAGGGCTGAGGGGGAGGAGACATCTCAGCTGGGGAGGGATAATGATGCATTCACGGGTGAGGGGTAAGTGGAAAACAAAACCTCACAGCAGCACTCACAGGCAGTTCTGTGCCCTTTACCCATGACACCGTGTTGTGTGCATTTGGGACTTAGAGGCCATGGGGTTGTAAAATACAGGCCATTGGAGGGGGTTGCTGATAAAAATCATAACCCCCTACCCTACTCAGTGAAGAAAATCATCTCTTTTATGGTTGGAGAACAAGTGTGAGAATGAATGTTGTAACGTAATGTTCATAAATTTTAATGAACTTCCTGAGGATGCCAAGCCCTAAATAAACGTCCCATTCAAACTAGGCTCTAGCTCTGTAGTTAGCAAGACTACATCCAGCCTCACCTCCCACAATAGGTATTACTCTTCCAACTGCAGTTACAGGGTCTCTAATTTAGAGATGAAGAAACCTGTACTTCTGAAAAAAACAAAAGCAAAAAATCATTCTATCCTAAGAACTTTGGCACTTTGGCTATTATAAGGTTCCCACTATATTTAGCTGAGGTCTGTTTCTCTGAAACCCCTTTTGGTTCATCCTATTTCCCCTTTTAAGCACCATGGAGTAATTTTACCTTTTTTTTTTTTTTTGGAAACAGGATCTCACTCTGTCTCCTAGGCTGGAGTACAGTGGCGGAATTAGGGCTCGCTGCAGGCTCAACCTCCTAGGTTCAATCAGTCCTCCCACCTCAGCCTTCTAAGTAGCTCAGACTACAGGTGCCACCATAACTGGATAATTTTTTTTAATTTTAGGTTTGGGGGTACATGTGAAGGTTTGTTACGTGCATAAACGTGTCACAGAGATTTGTTGAATATATTATTACATCACCTAGTTATTAAGCTCAGTACCCAATAGTTACCTTTTCTGCTCCTCTCCCTCCTCCCACTCTTCTACCTCTGATAGGCCCAGTGTCTGTTGTTTCCTTCTTTGTGTTCATAAGTTCTTATCATTTAGCTCCCACTTATATGTTAGAACATGCAGTATTTTATCTTCTGTTGCTGTGTTAGTTTGCTAAGGATGGTAGCCTCCAGCGCCATCCATGTTCCCACAAAAGACATGACCTCATTCTTTTTTTGTGACTGCATAAATTTTAATGAACTTCCATAGTATATATATACCACATTTTCTTTGTCCTGTCTCTCAGTGATGGGCATTTAGGTTGATTCCAAGTCTTTGCTATTGTGAATAGTGCTACAATAAACATTTGCATACATGTGTCTTTATAGTAGAATATGTTATATTCCTCTAGGGTATATACCCAGAGGATTTGCTAGTTCAAATGGTAGTTCTGGTTTTAGCTCTTTGAGGAATTGCCGTACTGCTTTCCATAATGGTTGAACTAATTTACACTCCTACTAACAATGTATAAGGGTTCCCTTTTCTCCACAACCTTGCCAGAGTCTGTGTGTGTGTGTGTTTTTTTTTTCCTAATAGCCATTCTGACT